TTTGTGAGTTTTCAGTAGAATGGCAGGGAACATCACTCTACTAAACTTTTCTGAAGAGCAAGCAGGTGAGGAAACGAAGGAAACGAGAATGAAGACTATTTTCGAGAAACCTGACTGTGAAGGAAACAGTAGGATACGTAGCAGACCTCAATGGGGTGCTAGTTCCCTGGGACAGAGTGGATAAGACAGAAGGTTGTTGGTGCTTACGGTTTGGAACTGGTTCACTGTGAGGGATGACAAGGTCCATGGTGGGGCTATTGACGGGGATGCCTAAGGGGATGTTCAAGATGTTTTGAGGTTAAGGTGGGGCAGGATCTGAAGAAGAGAGGAATATAGTACCCCAAGTGTCATTCATTGACAGTCGGTGGATAGCACGCCAACTGGAAACAGAACAAGTACAGAGTGTATGATCTTCAAGGGAGGGCAATATTTTTCCCTGGGGATTGCAAGAGCAAAAAGCCTGGAAGCTTCTATGAGGAACTAGAAGGCCTGTGGACCACAGGTTAAAACCTTATCCCTCCTCCTTCCAGATACATTCAAATCCAAGTACTACATTGATAATCTGATAAAACCTGGGCTTCCCTGACTGCTATCAAGGAATGCCAACGTCTACCTCTGGGAAGTCTGTGTTCTACTGTTTCTCTGTGGGCTCTTGCTGATCTTAAGAGACGGCACGTTCCACAACAGCAGGGGTCCTGTCAGACTCATCTCGACTCCCAGCACATAATAGGTGCTCAAGATGTTACTGGAAAGATTGGGGTTTGTTCGCTTTGTGAGTGACAACGCTCCACGAGAACGCGAGTCTTGAGTAGTAGTTTTACCCACTTGCAGCAAGTGAGGAGACCCCTGGGAATATTCTCCAAAGCAGGTCTCCGAGGGAAAGTGGCATGGGGTTTTTACGGGGTAGTAGAGAATGAAAAACTATCATTGCACGTAGGGGGTGGTTTCCCTTAGGCAAGTGTTGTTAGTTCGTCCTGCTCCCAGACAGGTCACATATTATGATAATGAAGCTCTAGCTCCTCCCTGGGTGGAGTTTTTAGCATGGTAATAAGGAAAGTTCACGTGAGTTCATCTGTAGGCTGCCAGGGGCTAGTTTTAGCCAGCTGAGCAGCCGAGGCCTCCTCCTAAACACGGGCTGCAGAACAGGCTGCTTTTTCAAGTGGGCCGAGTCCCTGTGTTTTCCCTCCCTTCCTACTTACAAACACGTGTGGGGTGAACACTGAGCAAAGCTGACGCTTGGTCTCTGGCACAGTCGACAGTGTTTTTTCCCTCCTCGAGAAGGCTGCTTCCATTCCACAGCCTGAAACGACCCCTCCTTCCTCGACCTCAGTCGCTGACTTCGGCTGCACTTTCGAACCCTGTGGGTAGCTTTTAAGACTCCCGACGCCCAGGCGCCGGAGACCGCAGCCCGCGACCCAGCTGCCCAGGGGCGGCCCGCCCGGGCCGCAGCCGCCTCTCCCTCGCCCCCTCGCGCGTAAGTCGGGCGGCTGCAGCTGCGGAGGGCCCGAGCTGCAGAGCGCCAGCGCCTTCTTCGCGTCCTCTCCTGGTTCCAGGGGTGTGGGAAAGACCGCAACCCAGCCGCCGCCGCCGCGAAGCCGCTTAACGGGCGGCACGCACCCTTCGGCACCTTTGGGTTCGGTTGCTCACCGTAGAGCTCCGGGCTCGGAGCTCGCGGCTCCTGGGGACGCGGCCTCCGAGCCGCGGAGGCCTCTGGGAGTCGCAGTCCCGGCTCGCTCTGAGGCGGCCTCGACAAAAACGAAGTCGAGGGTCTGGAACTACATCTCCCAGGAGGCCCCGCGGTTCGCCTCGGTGGGGCGGGGCCAAGGCCTCGGCGCCTCCGAGCGCCTCCGAGCGCCTCCGAGCGTCTCCGAGCGCTCCGAGCGCAGCGTGCTACCCGATCCCTGCTCCCGGAAGCCTGTGGAGCTACGGCTGCCTTAGTCCCAAATCCCTCGGATTCTCCAACGCCGGCTCCCGGCAGTCCCAGAAGGGCTCCAGGGCGGGATGCGCGGGGCTGAGCGAGACTGGGCAGATCCTGGCTTGGGCCACTTGCAAAAGCCCGAGTCCAGAGCAGGGAGTAGGGAGGGCGGAAAGGCTGAGCGGCGCAGAGCCTTGAAGGCCGCGGTCAGGAGTGGAGTAGGGAGGGGAGTCAGAGACCTGCTGCCAGGGCCCGGGTTAGAGGACTCGGTTGGTGGCAAAAAAGACGACAGATCGGGACAGGATTTAGAAGTAGAGCTCATGCGCTTGACTGATTTGAAGTGGGGTGGCAGGAAAAGAAAGAACATGAGGGCGACTTCTCGATGTTTTTGCCCAATCCATGGGGTGCCAAGAAATGGCGACGCCTGGGAGAGCGACGGCGCCTTTGGGGCTGTGAATCGTTGTCTTGGCCGTGGTAAGGTGGTGATGCCCGCCCGACATCTAAGTGGCGACACCGAGTGGACAGGAGAATACTCCAGCAGGCTGGAGACGGGCTTGGAATCAAGGACACGAGGTGGAACAAACGGACCAGACGGGGCCACTGGGTGGAGGCACAGGGAAGGGTCGAGGACAGAACCTTGAGACGGGTATGCCCATAGAGGTCGGCAGAGGTGGCCAAGGAGGAAGGACAGCCCAGGAGGGTGGTGGTCGTGAGGTTGGAGGAGTCGTCTCCAGGTGGCGGGAGCGATAACCCACGGGAGGTTCAGCTGAAAACGGAGACTAGGCCGCCGGGTGGGGCAGCTGGGCTGTCACTGGAGAGCTCGGTGCAGCAGTTTCAGTGAAGGGGCGGAACAGCCCGATTGGAGAGGAATGAAGAAGGAGACGTGCGGAAGTGGAGACAGCAAGTGTCCGTGTCGCTTTCAAGGGATTTTGCTTTAGAGCAGAGAGATGAGGCAGAGGCTGACAGGGTATGTCGGGTCCAGGGAGGTTTTTACAGCTTGTTTGTAGGTTGACAAGAATGATCCAGAAGGGAGGAGAAGTTAACGATGCAGTGGAGAGAGCAGAGTCACTGAGCAGAGGAGAGGGTAGGGGACCCAATGCCCCTGTGGGGAAGCGGCACCACGCTGCCTCACGATGGAAGTCAGGATGCCTGGTCCAGGGCACAGGTGGATATGGGAGGCGGATACTGCCTCCCCCATGACCACATCCCGGTTCCCAGAACCCGTGACTATGTGACTTTACATGGTAAAAGAGATTCTGCAAATGGGATTAAAGACTAAGTTAAGGACCTTGAGATAGGGAGATTATCCTGGATTATCCAGGTGGCCCGATGTATTCACAAGGGTCCTTAAAAGCAGAAGGAAGAAGGAGGCAGAAGAGGGCCGGGGGAGACATGAGGGTGGACGAAGGGTCAGAGTGACGCCACACTTTGAAGGAGCTTTGAAGATGGAGGAAGGGGCCATTCTCCAAGGAATGTGGGTGGCCTCTGAATCGAGAAAAGGCAAGGAAATGGATTACCCTCAACCTTCCGGACAGGAAAGCAGCCCTGCCTGGTGGCATGTTGATTGTAGCCCAGTGAATCCTGTGTTGGATTTCTAACCTGCAAGATAATAAACGTTTGTGTATTGGTTTAAGCCACCAAGTTTGTGGTCGTTTGTTGTGTCAGTGATAGAAAACTTATACAGTGGGCCAGGGTTGGTAGCGGTTTCCGACATTGGGCTGGTCCTCGTCCTAGTGACACTAACCCCAGGTCAGCCTCCTGTACCTTGCATGCTTCACCCCCTTCCAGGGCCCCTGGGAAGATGTGCTGAGAGAGGATGTGAAAGGTAAGAGCTGTTCCTTCAAAGCAGTCCCTCGCTGATGCTCCCCAAATGGCATCAGAGCTTTCTTACTGCAGTGGCCTTTGGGTGTGTTGGGAGCACACGGTACAGAGGGCTTTCAGGATGGCCTGTTATCCGTCTGTGTTCCTGTGGACATGCCCTACATCAGTCTGTCTGGGGTAATTAAAATAATTCCAGGAATGATATTTCCATTCCGCAAGCCCTATCTGTGGACCTGCCTCACCCACCATTCCCTCAACAGCTCAGCCCCAGTTGCTAAAATTAAGCTGCATCTGGTTATAGTCCAGTGGCTTTGGTCTATGATCGAATTGCACGGGAGCCAGAGTGAACCCCAAACTCGAAAACACCCTTGGTGGCCAGGATCTGCTTGGGGGCTTTTGTAACAGGGAAGATGTTCTTAAAGCAAAAGTACACAACCATAGCAGAGACCCAGATTTCAGTTCCAACTCATCACACCTCAGCCCCAGCCTGGGTACCGCCAACCCAAAATGAGAACAAGCTACTCTGGGGTCCTGAAGCAGGAGGAGGGGACTAGGCTAGCTGTGGCAGTGATTGCAGCCAACCGACCACGTGCTATCTGCAGGCCCAACCCAGCCCAAGAGGTCAGGCTCCTGCAGCCCAGCTGCCCCCATCCCTGAGGGATCTGACCTCCTGGGCCCAGTTCAACCTTAGGCTCAAGCCCCCTGGGGGCTTGGCACTTTCATATCAAGCCGTGAACTGGGTGGGTCCCCTTGTCCCTGAAGTCAATGGCACCATTCTTTCTTCAGTCAAGAAAAGTGACAATGAACACAAGTGGACTTGAACCTGCATCACACTGATGGATCGGAAACAGGTCTTTGAAAGATACTCCCACCCAAATGGCAGCTAGCAATTAGGCATTAGTGTTATTATGCCTGAAGCTCATAGCAAGAAAATGGTGCAGACAGGTCATTTCCCTGTCGCGAGTCACCCGGAGACAGACCCCACGCCAGTGGAATCCTTCAGGCCGCATACAAATTCCCAGGAGAGCGGCCAGGCCTGAGGACCTGCCCCACCACAGGGACGCAGAGCACTGCCTCCTGAGAGACCAGCCACAGGGTGTCCTCTCCAGCATGGTCACACTACTCACTTCGCTGATAAAGGGTGAAGTTTTAAAGGACATTCACAGGCGTCAGATGCAGGAAAAATGTGCTTAGTTTATCATTTACATATCTGACACATTAACACCACCACACCATCCGGTAATACTTCAAGGGTAACTAAGTCCAAAAGTCTTTATTTAATAAAATTGTAACATTTGATGGCAACCAAATACACAACCTCAAGTGTGCTACAGTCAAGATGGACAGAGCCTCGCTTCTTTCTGGCAGCTTGGAGCAGTGCTGCGGAACGCAACTGCCTCCCCTTGTCTCCCACTGAAGTGGCAAATTCAAGCTTCTGTTTAGCCCAGAGCTGCCAGGGCCTGAGTGCCCCTCCCTGGGACACCAGCATCCAGCACCACTGCTGTCACCCCTGCCTTCAGACCCCGAACAGTGCCAGAGAAGGCGGGGAAGGGTGAACCTGGGAGAGACCTGGTGGCTCTACAGGATTCTTCCTCCTGCCCTAGCTCCCACCCGCCACCCACCCCAGAGCAGGGTCCATAAATGTTACTTCCTCAGGAAACAGGGCTGGGGACCTGACTGGGCTGGTCCTCCCGGGCTGCCTGCAAGCCGTCCGTTGGAGGAATGGGGAGGGCAGATCTGGGAGACACCTAGGGCCCTGTCCCACCACATGCGAACCCCAGGGAGAAGGGAGTAGACACGGGAAGGCCGGGCCCACCCCCTGAAGACCCTGGCTGGCGTTGGTCACCAAGGCCTCCAGACACTCTGGGCTATTCGGGAGGCGGTCAGGCTTCCCAGGGCTGCAGGCACCGAGTCCGGCCCCTCAGCAGGTGCCCGGCTCGGTTCAGCCTCAGGGACCTCCTCCAGGTCAGAGCACAGTTCGTCCCCGGACCCTGGGGGGCTGGGCATCGGGGACCCCGGGGCCCCTCCCGCAGGCCAACCACTGCGCCCAGGGGCTCCGGGCGGCCCGGCCAGTGCGTCTCCTAGCAGATCCCGGAAGCTGCTGCCCTCACGCAGCGGCATGGACTCCAGCAGGTGGTTCAGGAGCTCGGCGGCGACGGTGGCATCGATGGCCTGGCACGTGGACACGAACGTGTGCACCTCATGCATGCACTGGATGTAGCCCGCGGCGAAGCGCTCGCTGGCTTCGGCCTGCAGCTGCTCCCGCTCTGAGCCCAGGGTGGGAGGGAGAGAGAGAGCGGCGTCCCAACCGGCCCACCGGGACTGGGCTCACCCAGGAGACACGGGGTGTACCCTGCACTGGGGTGGGGGGGAGCCCTCGCCGCCGACAGGACAGGGGCGCCAGAGGGGAGGGCCGGTGGGCGAACCCGCCCGCGCCCGGCTGACAGTCACCCGCAGCCCGCCCCGCCGCCACTCACCGCGCGCCCGGCCCCGCAGCGCGCCCTGGACGCGCCGCACCGTCAGCTCCAGCACCTCGGCGTTCTCCAGCTTGGCCTGCACCTGCCCGGGCGGGGGACGGCGGTGAGCGGGCCGCGCGCCCCGGACGCACCCCGCCCGCCCCGCAGCCCGCGCCGGGCCCCGCACCTCGGCGCCCGCCAGCAGCAGCCGCAGCTCCTGCAGACTCTCGTTGATCCGCGCGCGCCGCTTCTTCTCCACCAGGGGCTTCCGGGCCTGCGGGAAGCGGACCCCTGAGTCCCGGCCCCACGCGGCCTCCCGCCTGCTCGCCCGCCGCCCCGCCCGGCCCGCACCTTGCGGTCCGCCCGCGCCTCGCAACCGTCCTCATCCTCCCGGCCCGCGCGGTCCCGGCCGGGCGCCAGGGGCGGAGCCATGCCCGTCCGCGGGAGCGCGGCGCCCCTCGCCCGCCGGGCAG